CTGTGAGAATTCTCCACATGCTGCTGAAAGGTGTTATTATTTAAACCTAGGTGACCCCCAAGAGTCTCATGCACTCACAGCTGGGGCTTCTGGAAGGTGATGGAAGTGTGGTGGCCTAGAGCTGGCTTGCTGTGAGGAGGTGAGACCTGATTGAGGGTTCCTGGGGACATGACCTGGAAGGGTTTATCCCCCTCCCTGTTCCTTCCTTGGCGCTCTCTCTCTCTCTCTCTCTCTCTCTCTCTCTCTCTCTCTGCTTCCTGCCTGCTATGCTGTGAGCGTCTCTCCTCCACCAGGCCTTCTACCATGCCTCCTGCTTAGAAGCCGGCTGACCACACACTGAAGGTCTGAGCCAAAGTAAACCTCTCCTTCTGTAATTTGTTGATGTTGGAACTGAGTCCCAGTGCAAGAAGGTGACCAAGACAGAAGGGAGGCCTGGAAAACCGTTTCCCACTGGGAAATTCCAGATATTCCTAGTGGAGCACCCCAGAGACGTGGGGGTCTTCAAGTCCCAGACAGAAGCCCAGGGCTTGGCCTTGGATGGGACTCAAAGCACAGAGTGAGAGACTGGCAGAGGACTAGGGGACAAGTCTAAGCCCATGCTCAGCCATAAACCTCCAGGAAGATTAAAAAACAAATAACCTTCTTTCTGATTAAGAATTATGAAGTCATTATAAAACATAATAATCAGAACATTGTGAGACCTAAAATGAAATTTATCCATGTCCCATCACCCACAGATGACTTCCCTGGATCTATTTACTGAACATTTTGTTTTTCTGTCTGTGTAGTTAGAAAATGTCTCCTTAGAACACAGTTCTAGATAGGAATTTCCACATCAAATGATATGCTCATTTTAAATTCTAGCGAATACTGCTGAACTGCGGTATTTGCCAAAGTCAATCAAGATTTCCCAGAAAAATAGAACAAGTAGGAGGCATACAAGAGAGAGAGAGAGAGAGAGAGAGAGAGAGAGAGAGAGAGAGAGAGATTCTGATTATTGAGGTCAGTGGATTATGAAGCCTCTTAAATCTACTGTAGCAATGTTCAGCTCAAGTTCACAGACCAGCAGGCTGCTTTAGATCTGGGAAGAACCAGCAAATATTCCAGTGTGATGAGCATCAGGCTGGAAAATTGTCTCTTACTTGGGATCAGCGAGACTTTGCTCTAATGGGGAAGGATGGACTCAGGCTGTTGTTTAGGCGAGGGCCGCCCATGTTATGGAGGGTGACCTGTTTCATTTATCTCCTGTCCAAATGTCGATCTCCTGCAGTCCCCCTATCACAGAGCAGCCCACAGTCACATCTGACAAAACAGCTGGGCCTCTGTCAGCCCAGGAAAATATCTTTTACAGATGGCCCCTACCTCATGGTTCAGGATTCAATTTTGGATTTTTTGTTAGGACTTTACATGATGTGAATGTAATCTGCAGAAACCATGCATAAGGTTTAAGCTTTTCCCATGCTACAGAGGGGAGTGGGATGCTCTATCATGGGCCAGCAGAGGCAGTAAGCCACAGTCCCACTCGGGATCATGATCAGGAGGCTGCCAGCTGCCTTAGAATAAACACCGGCAGGGTAACTCATAAGCAGTGGTTTGTTCATGGTCCTGGGACTTGGGGAGTCCAAGGTCAGGGCCAACATCTCATGAGGGCTTTCTTGATGCATTGTAACATGGCAGAGTGTGGGCACAGGCATGAGAGAGGGGACCACAGGGCCCAACTCATGAAACACCCACTCTCTCCAAAACCAACCCATCTCTAATCACCTCGTGAGCCTCCACCCTCCCAACACTGCTGTCCGAGGTTTAAGTTTCCACCACAACCTTGACAGGCAGATTCTAACCATGGAAGCCACCTGCTCTCCACAACAGACCCTGCTGTTAAGCCATGGGGTTCAGCAGATTGAGTGTAATAAACACATTTTTGACCTATAACATTTTCAAGATACAATAGGTTTATTGGGACCTCAAGTACAGGTCTGTGACCTTGTATGCTGTTTAATTCTTACATGTCCAATTAAATGTGTGACTGTGTCCCTCAGGGTGGGTTTCAGCAGCTGACAATAGCAGGGTTATCTAGCCTCCAAATTCAGAAAGCCTCTGTGTGAAATACCACTCAGTTCCTTGTCGCCTGCAGGGCCCGTTTCCAGCCCCTCTCCTAAATTCTCTGCATAGTGCTTAGGGATCAGAATCAAGCTACCTCTCTGGCGTAACTTTAGAAGCCCTCCTCAAGGCAGTTGGCTGGACCCAGTGAGGGTTCAGTTACCAGCTGGGTGCCAGCAGGAGCTTCGACGTAGTCACAGAATGTAGACACAAGTTCTCACGGCAAACAGCTGGGAAGCCACAGTCCTGGGACCCTGTCACCACTCAGATCCACAAGTTCTCAGTGTGCCCACGAGCTGAACACAGGCATGGGCCAGGGCTGGCAGCCTGGAGAGCCAGTCTTTTGGGCCTCAAAAGTGGCTGTGACTTTTATTTCCTACCAGTTTCACCTGCAGGAGACGAGAGCTTCCAAACTGTCCTGCCCTCAACTGTTAATTCTGCTCAAAGCTAAAGAACAGCTAACCATGAAACAAGAAGGACCAAAGAGAAGATAGAGTTCAGGAGTGGAGTGCTAAATGTGGATTTCACTTGGAAAGCTCTCCCCAGTGGGCCAGAAGCAAGGTTTGTTGCTGTTGTCTGTTTTCTAAAAGTGCTGCCAGTCTGCTGTGGGATCATACAACACAGGAGCTGCTGCCTAAGAAATGATCCATGAAGATAGATGGGTGGACAGACAGATGGACAGATGAGTGGATGGATGGGTGGGATGGATTGATAGACTTATGTATGAATGGACAGATGGATGAACAGATGGATGGATGGACAGGCAGATGGATGGATGGATGGATGGATGGATGGATGGATAGATGGATGGATGGATGGATGGATGGATGGATGGATGGATGGATGGACAGATAGATGGGTGGATGTAAGGATGGATGCATAGATAGATGGAAACCCTAAAGTACAGAATCTATGGATACAGGGGGTTGTCTTAGTCACTTTTCTCATTGCTGGGACGAAATATCTGATACTGGCAACTTAAACGAAGACAGGTTTGTTTCAGCTCACATTTAAACCCCAGCTGGCCAGCTCCAAAGAAAAAGCAGCATGGCAGAGGGGCCTGGTGGGAGTAACCTGCTCACCCTTGTGGCCTAGAAGTGGAGCAAAGGGAGGAGAAGGGAAGGAGAAGTGCTCTCCCAGGTCACAGCCTCCCCGAACTCACCCAGACCCCACCCTTACCAGTAAGTTAGCTGTGACCTCATCGGTGGGTTAACTCACCCAGGAGTACAGTGGCCACAATCCTACCACCTCCTCAAAGCTCTCCCCTAGGTGGGGTGAGGACTGATAGAAATGATAACAAAGACAAATAGCCACGGGCTTCTGCTACACAGCTAAGAGAGGAGGGAGTGGGGTTACACCCTCACCTGCCCAGCTCCTGCCACCTGGGCTTCAGATTTGGGGAACCCATTTTATTACCACTAACTAAACGTAATCCTCTTTCTCCTCTGAACAATAGCTTCTTCTAATCAGAACGCTGCTAACCTGACTAATGGAATGAATACCTAATAACTTCCGTGCCCTTTCCTGCTAGCCATTGGGGTGTTAAGTGAATTTTCCTACTGCATGCTACACATCACTCTGGGCTGAGTATGGTCGTCTCAGCCACAGATCCACAGAGAACTGATTCCAGGACCCCCAGCTATGCCGAAATCTGTGATCCACAGATCACAGGTCCTTGGCATCAGTTGTGATCGCATTTGCACAGAATCTATCCCTGCTCTGTCCTGAGCTTTAGGGCACCCCTCCACAGCCCGTGATACCAGAGACACTGGAGATGCGGAGACAGTGGAGACACTGAGTGGTTGTCATGCTGTGTTGCTTAGGGAATAATGACAGGAAAGGAAGCTGGTACACATTTGTTCCCAAATACCCGTGACCCTCCAGTGATGGGTCTGCAGAGCTGGGCCTCAGGGACTCCCAGGGGACTGTCAGAAGCTTGCTGGCCCAGGGAGCAGCACTCAGGCCCTGGAGGTGCTCGATGGCTCCAACAGGAAAGTGTAAGGCAGGCAGCCGTGGAAGAAGGACAGCATTCCTAGTTTACTGTGCTCAGATGCTGGTCTATGAGGAGACTTGGGTGACTGGAACAGTTTGAAAGGTCTAGATAGGAAACAGAAAATAACAAAGTCAACTGGGCTGGCTGGGTCTCAGAGGTCCAGGGAGCTGGCCTCTGCGCCTGGCATCCCGAGATCCACAGTGCAGACATGGAGCCAGGAGAGTGGGCAGAGGCCAAACTGCCTCCGTCCCCTGCCATCCCAATTGATTCCAACTTCTCCCACCCACAAGGAAGCTGGCAAGGACTGTCCGGCGGCTGACCCTTTGCCCACATCTGGGTCCCTTCCTCAGCGTGAAACCCCACAACTGCTCCACCGTGGTGACCCAGACAACTGTGGGAGTGCTCTGGGGGGCAAGCCCACTCCAGGACACACTCACACATAGGGGCTGGGGAGGCCTGGTTGCTGCCCCAAGCTGGGGAAGCTAGGCAGGGGTGTCTGCACCATTGCCCACTCTGCCCACAACGGCATCCTCAGCTACAGTCACCCAGTGGTCCTTGGAGCCTCCACACCCTGCTGGTCCCTCACACCCTGTGCAACAAGGAGGTGAGAGACCAGGTGACTAGCAGGTCACCCCACCCTGGGCCCACTGCCCAGGACTTCTGTGAGGGGCTCTCTGCCCATGAGCCAACCAGCAGGCTCCTATCTGAGATGTTGTGCCACCTGTTTGGCAGGGCAGGACCCATTCCTGGCACCCACAGCTGGCTGCTCTTTGGCTCGCTGGGCTGCCCTTGAAGCAGGAAGGCCACATGAGGACAAGGGGATACGACAGCCCCTTCTCGAGGGCCCCCAGCTCCTTGTATTTGGAGACCTTAAAAGGCCTGCGGGAGCCAGTGCTGGGCTCTTATCTCTGGGCTGTGTTCTAGAGGTCCCTTATTTATAGCACTTCCACCAGGGAGGGGAAGCCAGGAGGCTGGTGGGACACAGCTGCTGTCCCTGGCTGGCTGCAGGGAGAAGACAGGGCTGGGACATACAGGTAAGGCCCCGACCCATCCATCCTCTCCCCTACTGTGTCCCCCATCCTGTGTCCACTGCAGCCAGGCTCAGCTACCAGCTGCACTGGCTTCTCCTTGTGTCCCTGGCAGGGACATCCCGCCCCAGGCCCCCAGTTCTGCCAGCACCCAGCCCCACAAGGCTGGCAGAACCCAGGCTACAGGGAGGGAGCAGGACTCTGGCCCAGCACACACAGGGGCCCGGAGGACGCAGTGCAAGGGAGACCACTGCCCCTTCACCACCTCTCCTGTGGGAGTGGCTCTGGTCACCGGAAACAATATTTTAGAAGGGAAAGGGAGAGAAGACAAATTGCAAGATAAACATCGGAAGGGGGCGAGAACACAGTGCACTGGAGCATTTTCTGTGTGACAGAATTTCCAGATGCCGGGGTGGGGTGGGGGGCAAAGGCGAGTGGCTGTGACGCAGGGGACAAATGTTTACACAGGGTGACTCATCCCTGCTGGGAATGAAAGTCCAGAGCATGGTTGCCTGCTCTGAGAAGGAAATGGTGGGTGTCGTGCTGATTTCTAGCGCAGGACCAGGGCCAGGGCTCACAGTGCTGAGAGATGCTCTGACTGGCTGGGGCGATCGCAGCCCACAGAAGAGGAGCCTGGCAATGGGGGTCTCCTGCAGGCAAGGGCGCCCTGGCCAGACTTGGCAGAGGAGCCTGGCAATGGGGGCCTCCTGCAGGCAAGGGTGCCCTGGCCAGACTTGGCAAAGGGCCAACCCTAAAACCGATCGTCTAGTGGCCTGCTTGTTGTTCTAGAGTCCAAAGACGGTGTGTGGGGCTGAGCTTCGGGCCAGCACCCGCTGTGTGGCTTTGCTGTTTGTTTTGTTCGCAACTCAGGCAGTGGCATTTAGCTGTTGTGCTGTTCCTAGGATTTTGACAAGCTGTCCTGTAACACAGCCTAGGGCATGTTTCGATTCATCCTCTCCGATGCTTTGGGGCTTATCTGAGTAGCTGAGATGTGAAACAATGATTGCATTTTGGAGGCCTTTTCTAATAGGAAGAGTTAAAAAACTTTATTCAGTGGTGTTGGGGTTTGAAACCAGGGCCCTTCACACATGAGGCAAGCACCGTACCAATGAGATGCACCCTAGCCTTGGGAAAATGCATTGTACTCCCCATCCCCTGTCAGGGTGCCCTGGCCCCCACTCGCCCTGGCCTGTCTGGGAGCACACTCTGCTTTGCTGATTTCACACCTCGGCTCCACATCGATGTCAGGTGCTGTTTCTGGAATGAGCCATGCCTGCCTCTGTGTCCCCACCCAGCTGTGCAGGGTTTCACCTTCCTACCCAACTCGGAGGTGGAATTACAATCATGATGTTTTTATTTTCATACCATACAGAAAATGTGCAGGCATGCCTCGTTTATCGACCGAGTTATGGTTCAGCAACTAGGTCAAAAAGGGACTCAGCTTTTATAGTATGAACAAAGAAGCGATCAAGAAGATGCTCCAGCTGGGTGACTTTGCTTTTATGTGCATAACTTACATGCAGTGCTGTAATGCATAACAGAACACAAAGCTGCAGTACTGTACAAACCAGGTGCATTGTACAGAAAAAGACAAGGAGCCTCGACCAGCAAGACACACAGCTGGAAAATAAAAAGACGGGCTGTGAGTCTGAGCAGCAGCTCACAAATCCAAAAAGTTGTTAAACAGGCAAGTTGTTCAGTGAGGGTTATCTCTGCACTCCTCTAGGAAATACAGACCAGCAGAGAAAAGAAAATGGAAAACGATGTGTAATTCCGCTACCCAGGAGTAAGTACCCTGAGCTTCTGACAGCTTACCCTAACTCCTTTTAATGCAAAATGCCTGATAAGAATAGCAACCATTAATTTAAAGTCAATTCAAGAGAAAAGAAAAGATTATAACTCCTTTGATAGTAATTTATAGTTCTCCCCACAAGGAAATGCTTTTGGATTCGCCTTAAAAATAATAATCTGCACAACACAGTAAGGGCCTCTTTCTTTCTGTTCTCCCTCTCAGTCAGATTAGTTGGTAACTTGCTTCTGCTCCAATCTATGGTCAGTTACTTTAATTATTCAAAATCTGACTCCTTGACATCAGTAATGTCTGTCTGACCTCATTAGTCACATGAAGACGTTAGCAGCTGGATGATTGGGAAGAAGCATAAATGCAGACGTCAGTGAGACCTTTTTGTACTAGAGATTGAACCAGGGCCTTCGCACTGGGCTACATCCCTAGCCCGTTAGCTATTTTTCAGGCTCTTTCTTGCTAAGTTGCCCAAGTTTGGTTCAAACTTGCCATTTTTCTGCCTCAGCCTCCCTGAGCATTGGCATCATGGGCACTACAACTTCTTTCCAAGCACAGTGTGTCTGATGATGTCCATGCTGCCACTGCCCCTTTTGGAGTCATGGCCACTGTCCCATGGGCTGTGGCTGGGCTGCTCCTCCGGAGCTTGAGCCATGGATCTGTCTCCTTCCCACTGCTGTGTCGGCTGCCAACATCCTGGCCCTGGCTCTAAAACTTGTATGGAAAAATAGAAAGGGACGGGAAGTCAACTGGATGAGGAGCAGGTGGGCCACACAAACATCGTAATTTTTATGGTGGAAACTGGAAAACATTTCCTTAATTCTTTGTGTGTCCTGGGGTTTAAACCCAGGCAGGTTTGCACATGTAAGCTCATGTTCTGTCAGTCATTTTTTAAATCAAATTTTAACCTTGAGGAGATTTTGACAACTCAGGACTTCATTTGAATTTAAAAGATACATTTTAGGCAGAATAGGAATAAAAATGCATTTTAAGGGCAGGGACATAGCTCAGCAGCACAAGCACCTGCCTGGCAAGCATGAGGTCATGAGTTCGATCCCTAGGTACAAAGAAAAAAAAGACACACACAGAAATGCATTTTAAATGTGTTTATTTCAAAGCTGACACTGAAAAAATCAGACAGAAGAGAACTCACTTCCAGTGACACACATGACACGGGGCAAGTGCGGGAGTTTCACTGCAGGTGTGGAGAAGTGTGAGTTCTCTGGCCACTGGAGCTCAGACTCACAGAATAGCGGGGCACTGGGAGCATTGGTGACTGTGACCCTCTGTGTGTACTGAGCAAGGGCACCGTCCCACCTCAGCACTTTGCAAATAGAGGGGCTGCACACAGCATGGAAGCCATGGTTGAGTGTGAACATCCCACTTACACAGGTATGAGAGCCGCCCTGCACACCCACCTCCCTCCCTCTCGTCTCTAGCTCCTCACCTTCATTTATTTCTGGTTTTGACTTCTCCTCAAGGCACTTATTATCTTACACATGTATACACCTGCAAATAGTGTGTGTCTGTGGGTGTGTGTGCATGTGTGTGGTGTGCACACGTGTACACAGCCCCTCACTGTATGCAGGAAACTGGCTGCAGGACTCCATAACCCCAGGCTCTGCTGAGGCTGAAATGTCTTATAGACAACAGCATCACAGTCGCATGATCCTTTGTGCACCCTCCTGCACTGCATAAACCACTTCCAGATGGCAAATAACTCGGCAGTATAAACACACAAACGCCACTTGCACAACAGCTGCAGCTTTACAGCCCCTGTGGCACTGTACTACTGTAGTCACAGCCACTATTATAACTTCTGGTTCCGTTGAGGACATGCTGAGCTCCAGAGAAGCAACTGCCATGCAGTGCAGTAGCTGCGTTGGTCTACTGACACTGCTGTGACAAATCAGGGCCAGTGCAACATCATGCAGCCCTCTTCCTAGGGTCTCCGAGGGGCCAGAGCCATGGGATAGGGAAGTTTGGGGCCAGAGGGAGGATGCAGAGGACGTTCCTGGCAATGTGTCTTTTTGGTTTTTTATTTTTACTTATTTATTTTATTTTTGAGACAGAGTCTGGTCCACAATGTAGTTCAGGCTGGCCTTGAGCTCACTTTGTAGCTCTGGCTAGTCTCGAACTCACAATGATCCTCCTGTGTCGGCCTCCTGAGAGCTGGGATGACAGGCGTGTGCCACCACACCTGGCTGCAATGCATCTTTTACTGTAATGTTTTTCTCTTGAGCCCCACACCTGTGTCCTGTGTCCTGTGATAATCACACCCGTATGATACACAGGCCTGTGGGTCACACCCAGGCTGAGACTTTGCTACCTCCCTCGGAGCCCCAGCCCTGCTGGTGCTCAGCGCAAGCCCAGGCACTGAGGTTCACAGCCCTGGAGCAGTGGGGCTGCAGAGCCCAGCGTGCAGCAGTGAATCTGTCCAGGCTCTTGTGAGCACAGCTAAGGTATTATGGTAGCAATGGCATTGCCCAGCACTGTGCTGTGACAGGTGTGTCCTGCGTGGAGCAACATGCAGCTCGTGAGTCCCAGTGCAGTGGGCAGCAGGTTGTGGACATGAGCCCAGGCCGCCACTGGTCTGCCCTTCAGCTGTGACTCTCTATTGAAACAAGGCTTGTCATCACTTCCGCTCCCCGCATCCACCAGGAACTCTTCCCCGTCGAAGTTTCTCAGCTTCTGTGGTCTCCCGGCGTGGCACAAGCTAGAAATCAGGGTGGTGGTGGACAGGGCGGGGAGCGAGAAATGTCAGGTGATGTGAGACAGGCATTGGGGACAGCTCTCTGGCCCTGTGTGAATGAAGGAGAGCAGCCAGAAATAGATTAGAAGGGAAACTGCTAAAAACCTGCACCAGAGTGCACCGCACAGAGGGGACCAGGGTCCCCCAGCCCACCCTGGAGGCTGGCGCAGTTCCCTGAGGTAGTGGCTGTAGGTGTTGACCCCTTGCTGCAGACCCTGTTTCCGGGCTTCCTCCGCCTGTGCTGGGACATTTGCAGTTCTCTAACTCTCCTCCTGCCTCTCCTGGACACCTCTCTGCAAGCGACTGAGCTCAATCCTCCAGCCTAGGGCTGACCCAATGCTGCCTACCTCATTAAAAAAAGGGAAAAATAAAAATGAAAGTCTGCCCCAGTCACCACAAGTGACAGGGCCATGAGAGGAAACATTTGGGACTTTCAAAAGCAGCCATGCTGAC